GTTTATCTTCTGGAGAGCAGCAATGTGATAAACCTGAAGGGTTTATCCTCTGGAGAGCAGCAATGTGATCTGGCCAACAGATTCAGCATCAGTCCAGAAGAAGAAGTGAAATCTACGAACCTCTAATAAAGACTTGAACTTGTCAAATTTTCCGTAGTCAGAAATGATCCTCATCAGATTCTCCTGAGGAAACAAAGAAGATGTTAACGATCAACAAACAAGTGAATCAACGAAAGGTCAAAGTTTGTCAGTTCACTGCTTCACCTGTGAGTTGCTCGCCACTGTGGGTGAAACGCTGTCCATCAGCTTGTTGATGATGTGGATCATCCCGTTGGACGCGACCACGTCCGACTGGAGGATCACGCCTTTCTTCCTGCTGCCGTGGATACGGATCGTAGTCCGAGAGTCCTGCAGGAGGTCACAGAGACGTTCTGGTAGTTACAACCCAACAACCTCACGGCTTCAAATCAAACAGTCTGTGTGAAATGTATGAAGTCAAATCACTGTCAAAATCTGAGAGCGCAAATGAGATCCATGTGCGCGCGAAAATCAAACAGCCGCGCGCGTATTTTACTTTGACGAGCGCTTTTACGTCACTCCGCCAGCAGAATTCACTCTCGCGTGAGCAAAAGTAGCTCGCGAAGCTTAAACCCGCTCGCTCGCGAGTAGTTTTTCTTTTTGACAGTAAGTGGGCGGACCCAGTCTCCATCGTATCTCTACATCTGATTGGTTACGATCCTGGTCTTGGGATAGACCGGATATCACTCTGACACAGACGCTAGTTCTGATAGAGGTGGTTTTCAATCCGCCACTAAACACTACTCCACTACATCTCAGCATGTTCTACATTTGACAGGTTTTGTAAACGTTTCAGACTGTAGAGGCTGATCAAATACAGATGATGTTAATAGAGTTGTTAAATGCAATAATTAAAATGTGTTAAAGTCAAGTTGCACAGACGATGTGTGTTTGATACTCAAACCTCTTGATTAACACATGATGTGATCATATTTAATCTACTGTTGTGTTTACAGAAGAGATATAATATAGTTGTATATAATATGAGCAACAATGTGGACCTGCTCAAAGATCTGGAGCCAAGATTAGGAACCACTGTTTGTATATTAACTGTTAAATCACTGACAACTAGTTAGTGGATGAAAAAGTATTCAGATCCTTCACTGCAGTAAACGTACTAACACCATACTGATGAAACAATAACCCACTACCAGTAAAATACCTGCATTCAAAACCTCAGTCAATGTTATTATCAGCAAAATCTACTTTAAGTGCAGAAAGTGAAAGTACCCGTGCAGCAAAATGTACATTATTTGCCCCTGACCTGTAATCTGAAGATCTCCCCCGAGCGTCTGCGTCAGAGTGATATCCGGTTTATCCAAAGACGAGGATTGTAACCAATCAGATGTAGAGATACAATGAGACTGGGTCCGCCCACTTACTGTCACAAAGAAAAACTGCTGCAGGTTTAAGCTTCGCGAGCTACTTTTGCTCGCGCGAGAGTCAATTCTGCTCGCGGAGTGATGTAAAAGCGCTCGTCAAAGTAAAATACGTGCACGGCTGTTTCATTTTCGCGCGTGCACGGATCTCATTTGCGCTCTCGGATTTTGACAGTGGTTTGCCTTCATAAAAATGTGCTCTGAAATACGTCAAACTGTGTGTGAGATACCTGAAGGACACCTGGGATCCTGAAAACCACAACATCTAATTCATGCAAGGTCGCAAACCATTGGAAGGGGCTTTTGATGGGTTGCAACCTCTGGTTCTATAAAGAGTGAAGTCAGTACTTCATGTGTTAAAGCTGCATTCTCTCTAGTGTCCACCAGGGGGCGACTCCTCTGGTTGTATAGAAGTCTATGAGAAAATGACTCTACTTCTCTCTTGATTTATTACCTCAGTAAACATTGTAAACATGAGTTTATGGTCTCAATCTATAGTTTCAAGTCTTCTTCAATACAGCATGATGTTCATTTAGTACATTATGGTCCATTTAGAGTCACACAGACCATAAAGCAGGGGATGCTTTAGGGCGGGGCTACACGGTGATTGACAGGTCTCAAACAGACCATAAAGCAGGGGATGCTTTAGGGCGGGGCTACACAGTGATTGACAGGTCTCTGTTATTATTATTATTATGAGAACACTTGTGATGGATCTCACCCCCTCTGAAGAGTCGGACTCAGCTGATTTTCCAGTCAAAGTGAAGAAGATGTTAGTTTTCTTCAGAGTGTCAAAGGGCATCACCCCGGCAACCAGGTGAAGCTTACACAGGTATTCAGCTTTGGAAGAGTCTGATGTCAGAGTCCTCATCTGAGAGA